GGAGGGGGCTGGGGGCCGCGGCCCGGGTCTTGGGCCGCGGGCCCCGGCCCTTAACCCGGCCCCCGGCCCCGGCCCGCTATGGGGTGTGGAGGAGGGCTCGCCTGAGGCGGAAGGCCTCCAGGAAGGAGAAGAGGCCTCGCTTGCGGGCACCGGCCCCCGCCGGGCCTCCGCTGCCCCCGCTGGCCTTGCTCGCCCCGCTGGCTGCGTCCCCCGAGGCCGCCGGGCCGGGCCCATCCCGCCCTGTCGCACCCTTCGGCTTTGTCCCCGGTGCAGCGGCCACTAGGCACTTCTGGTATTGCACCTGCGGGGAGAGGAGGGATAGGGAGTGGCCGTGGGGTGGGACGTGACTTGGCACCGCCATGGGGGTCGCACACGGCGTGGCGTGGCTGTGGCATCAGACACACCACGGTGTGGCTGTGGGGGTCAGGCACAAGGCAACGTCACCGTGGAGTTGGACACATGCTGTGGCTGTGGGGTGGAACACAACACTGTGGCTGTGGGGTCACATGCAACATGGTGTGGCCATGGGCTGGGACACAACATGGCATCACCGTGGTCAGACACAGCATGGCATGCCCGTGGGGTCACACACAGGATGGCACCACCGTAGGCTGGGACACGGCACAGCTATGGGTTGGACACGGTCCTGTGCGGCCCCTGCTGCCCTCCCCAGCGCTGAGTGTCCCACCCCAGCCCCTGGCCCAAGCCCTCGGCCTCTTCCCTCAGGTGTCCCCAGGGCGCAGAGAGGCTGAGGGGGTTGGGGGATGCTCACCATGCAGGCTGCCTGCACTGCCTCCGAGATGGTGCCAGCGTCAGGCTCACACCAGAAGGCCGCACACTGGAAGCGTCGCCCTGTGTCCACGATGAGTGCAAAGGTGTGGGCGTCCCGGCCCACTCCCAGGAAGGTCACATACCGCACCTGGCACTCCCAGATGTGCGCTGCATCCTCATCCTCCTGCAGGGATCCCGTGGGCCCATCCATCCCTGCCCACAGTGCGGGCAGCCCTGCCACCCCTGCCAGGCCCCCTCTGCCAGGAGGCCAGGCTCCCCATGGGGGTCGCCTGTGCCACCCCGGTGGCAGCAGGGTGCCCACTTCAGCTGGAGCTCCCTTCCCCCCTCCCCACCTGCACAGGGTGCACCCTCATGGCTGTGTCAGACACGCGGATGAGGGAGGGTGTCCAGTGCTCCCGCCCGGGGCCCCTTGTCAGCTTCTCAATGGCCTCGTTCAGCACATCCATCCCTGGGGAGTGAGAGACCCTATACCATCGGCCCCTGCCCCAGCTGTGGGCGCAGCGCAGGTAGGGTGCTGTCAGCCAGCCCCATGGCAGGGGGGGTCTCAGTTGTACCGCCACTGCGGCAAGGCAAGCAGTGCTTACCCATGGCCCTGGGCACGGGCAGGCTGCCAATGTACAGCGCCTCATAGGTCTGCATCGACTGCCTCACCGCTTCCAGGATATCCACTGCCAGGACAGCAGAGGTGGGAGGGCGCCCTGAGGGACCCCACCATCTCTCCCTGATCCCCAAGGACCCCGAGGACATAGCTGGGCAGGCCAAAGGGCTCTGGCCACCGAGCATCCCACTGGCCAAGCACCGGGGGAATGGTACCTTGCAGCGGCAGGTCTTCAGTGGAGATGGACCCCAGCGTGGTGGTGCATGGTTGCCCACAGCTCACTACAGCTCGCTCAGCCATGATCTGCAAGAGACAGGGGTCCTGGTTACTCCCCTCACCCCTGCGATGCTGCAGGCCATGCCCCACACCCACCAGGGCCCCTGGATCCCACCTTGGAGCACATCTCATGCAGGGCCTTGGCGATGCCTTTGGCGGGCACGTTGCAGTGGAAGACGTGACACTTGAGGACACAGGTGTCTTTGTCACTGGCCACAAAGGCAAAGTCTCTGCAAGACCACAAGCAACCCAGTGAGACCCCAGTAGAGGCAGACCCCTCCCCATGCTGCCCCGCCCCAGCCCTGTTGCCCTCCTACCTGTCCCTGCAGCCGTGGCAGCAGTCAGGGAGAGAGGAGAGGGGACAGGTTACTGCTGGGTGCCTTTCCCCCTCAGTGGGCAGAGCTGCCCCCCAGCCCCCAGCTCTGCCCCAGCCCCCAGCACCTGCCGTTGTTGCAGCCAACACCCCAGACACGGATGTTGAGGATGGGCTGGCGGTGGATGAGGCTGCGGTCGAGGGGGTCCACCAGGCTCATGGTGTCCTTCTTCAAGATCATCACCAGGTCCTGGCCCTGCAGAGGATCAGAAGCTCCCTCAGTCTGGCAGTCAGCGTGGGTGTCCCCAGGACCCAGCCCATGTGTAGGGAAACATTTCCGCTCACACCGCCACAGCCTACTCAGCCCCAAGCGTGGGGACTGTCCTGCCCCCACCAAGTACCATTCCCATGTGTGGGGACAGCCCAGACAGGCACCTCTGGCACTGTTCTCACGGCACAGCCCTGTCAGGCCCACACCTGGGACCAGCACATGGATGCCTGATGTGGAGAGAGTTGACGCTGCCACTGGCATTGGTCCCTGCTGGCTCCATTCCCTCCCCTCCGCCCC